TCAATTGAGAGGCAGCGGTGCGACGCGCGAGCGCGCGGGCACACCGGTAGATTTCGCGATCGATGAGAATTACTCATTCAAGCCGTTGCACGACCGGCCACCTAATTCCGCCCCATCAACCCCCACCTCGCCCTTGCTCACGGGGCTGCACCCCTCGGACGGGACTACTCCGGCAGGAGGAATCGCCACGGGGGGAACTTGCTTCCCGAGCACGCTCTATAGAAATGGTAAATACCATGCGCGCCGAATAATTGTCTGATTTTACGGCGTGATTCCGCTCGCAGGATCCAATGGCGCGCACTTCGGACCTGTTGAGAGAGAGGGAAAGAAACACGCAGAGAGAAAGAGAGAGAGAGAGAGAGAGAGAGAGAGAGAGAGAGAGAGAGAGAGAGAGAGAGAGAGAGAGAGAGAGAGAGAGAGAGAGAGAGAGAGAGAGAGAACTCGTGAGACGCGGTGAGGCACTCTGGCCGATCTCCGATGTGCGTTCGACTAAATTAAGAAACCAGGAAGTGTGTCGAATTACATTAACTCAAGTATGTCAAGTTACTCGTTGCGGAGCGAAGATGGCTGCGCTAATGTCACACTGGTACCTAACATGTTACATTGCGGCTGTTGCTACAATGTGGGCTTGATGGTCGAGAGCGTCCCTGTGCGAAAGTGCGAGAGAGCGCGCCCGCTCGCCGGTGATCGATTCCGCGATGGGAGTTTTTCGAGGAGAGCACGATGAGTCCTGAATGATCTTATCAGCCGGGAACCTTCGCCGGGGCCTCCTACGAAGTTGTTTATAATTGCGCGGAACAATAAGAACGGCTTCTTCCTGGCGCGCTTACGTTCTTATGTAGATTCGCGCGCGACGCGGCCACCACCGCTGCGGCCCGTCCGCGCGATTGAAAGTTCTGTCTCTGCGAAATACTGTGCAAGAAACTTTCGCGAAGTCGTAAGTAAGAGAGCGACCGGAGCAGACGCGCCCGGTACTTTTCCAATAACCGATTTCGTATACGTTCCGCGAAGTTTCCGCGACACAATAGCCGCGCCGTCGCGAGACACGAAGCCGCCGCTATCGATATTGTGATCTTTAGTGTACAAAGATGCACTCTGAAATTCCGCATAAAAGTGCAGGCGGATTCCGTCGAGCAATCCAAATATTTTCGATATATGCCGAATGTGAGGCAAAAGTGCCAATGCCGAGACGCGCTGCCAAGTTTGGGGACGATCTTATTTTATTTCGCTCGTTAAATACGAATGTTTAAAAACGGAAGATACGTGTGTACACTCGATATACGATTAAATATTCGATATATAATTCGACATATATTCCGCATACGATGCGGGATATACATCGATACTCTTACTTTACCTCTCGCGTCACGAGCACGAGGGAATTGGTTTCATATCTCTCACAGCGTATCTTTCAGCGTAAAAATTGAGTCGCGGATGAGAAATATATACTGCACGATCAAATTAAGTGGCATAACACTGCGAGCATCGAAAATTCCCGTAAAAACGACGATTAATCGCCGCACACACACAGATCGATCGATGGCTTTATCTTGATATATTATTACTTGATTGTCATATCGTTAAATATAACGGCCTCTATAAAAAGTTGTTGGTTTAAGCGCGCAGCCTAAAAGTGCGAGTTTCACTTCGCCTCGTCACTCCGTTTTTCCGTCGGATCTTGTACATATATATATATATATATATATATACGGTGTCAATAACGTACAATCGATGCCACGTTGCATGCTGTTTATTTTCTCCGCAGGTAAAACGTACAGGATGCCCAGCATGTATTTACCGCGGATAACGGAACCGCGGCGATGTTGGATCACGAGCGCGAGAAGGAAAAAGAGAGGAGAGAAACGGAGAAAGAGCGGAAAAGAGAGAGTGAGAGAGAAGGAAGGAAGGAGAGAGAGAGAGAGAGAGAGAGAGAGAGAGAGAGAGAGAGAGAGAGAGAGAGAGAGAGACACGAGTCGAGAGATGGAAGAACGACCGATAGAAAGAACAAGCTTCGAGAAAACGAGGACTCGTACAGCAAAATCGTGCGAGATATTCTGTCGTGTGCGATTTCACATCGGTGGAAAATATCATTTCCACGCATTACCGCGAAAATCAATATAAAATATCCGACAAAGAGAGAAGGAGAGCGAGAGAGAGAGCGAGAGAGAGAGAGAGAGGGAGAGAGGGGGAGAGAGAGAGAGAGAGAGAGAGAGAGAGAGAGAGAGAGAGAGAGAGAGAGAGAGAGAGAGAGAGAGAGACGGAGAAAGAGAGGAGGAAAGGAACAAGATCAAAAGGACGAATTTCATCATGATTCATTCAGAAAATACTCTCGACCGATTCCACTTAACCCTGACAATTACACACTCATTTTACGCATGAGCAACGGCGCATTATCAAAAAAGTGACTGCAGATTTATCGAATCACTTATCGCGAGTCGTAATTGTTGTCCTCTTTTTCGCTCCACTATTCACGTGATCTCCGTGTATAATTTTAAATGAGGGAAACCAGTATACGCGTCCATAATGCGTCCGGCACACACTCTCGGTGTATTACCGTCAGGGTTGAAATATTCCCCACACTCTCTCACGCCTATCTCTCTCGCATCGAGCAATTCGTACGTACGTCACAAAATTCGTACTGTAAGCGAGTTTAACGCGCGACCCCCCCCTCCCGCGCCGGGGAGGATTATCCGAGCGCAATCCAGGACGACTTGTCACGCGTGTCCGCAGGTATGCTCGTCACACGCAGAAGTGCCAAGCACTTTTAAACCGCGATAAGTGCACCGCCCTACAGGCGAGCGGCGCGTTCAGGTCGCGAGGCGAACGCTCGCGTTACGCGCCAAGTGACACGAGCGTTACTCTTGTTCGCTGGCATAATGGCAAGCTGCACATACACGTGCGTATGTATTAGAGCGAGAAGATCTCGCCGTGATAAGGCGGCGTCCTACAAGTCCTACGGACTGGTTCGCAACAGTGCGCGTCACCGGTCGGCCCGATCGGAGACGTTTTCTGCCGGTGACGATACTCGAATTGAATTGCCGGGTTCGCTGCCCGTGCTCGCGCACTTCACACTCGCGCATTATCCTCCGTACGAAATGCAAGCGTTCGTGCTTCGTGGCAGAAGAGAGGAAATGGCGGAGAGAAGAGTAGAGAGAAAACGAGGGTAAATACTGCGCGCGAATTTGCACAAGCGTGACAAGCGGTTGGGGATCGATTGTTCTCCAGGAAAAAAAAAAAAGAAAGTAGAAAAAAAGGGAAAGGGAGCAGTAATCCCGAGTCCTTAATCGCGAACGAGTCACACTTTGCTCCGTCGATTATTTTCAAGGAAAATGCTAATGATCCGCGCTTCAAACGTTCCGCGGACCGCTCTCGTCGGTGGAACCGGATGGTACGTCGCTCGCCGGTCGATACCAAACTCGACCGCGATCCGCAATCCGCAATCCGGCCGTAATTCATTCTCGTATCGCATGTTTAGCGCCGAGAGGTGCACGCTCGCGGGTCGTTTCGCTTCGAAACGCTAACGAACGCGTACCGCCTATGTAACGTCTCGTTCCGCCAGGAACTACGACGCATTTGTAGTCCGCCCGAGAATGAAGGTTCCACCTTTGGCGAAGCTCAACCAAGTCTCGCGTTATACGTATAATATTATAAATATCACGTTACGCCGTGTGTGCCATAGATTTAACCGCGAGCGATGCTCTTATCGTTCTCCGCGAGAGAAGCGAAAAGCGATTCCCCTGGGAACCACTTCGCAGGAGAGGATTCACTACTCGCTCGCCGCTCGCGGAAACGATTAACGCGCGGTATAGTGGTGCAACGATGCTTCATTCGTCGTGGGTCACGAGAGGCGAGCGACCATCACCATCAGCACCCGGTAAGAAGAAACCGTCAGGTAAGGTAAAAGTACCAATGTCAGGACACGAGTCACACTGTGGACATTCTTATTGTATATAGTTTTGATTTTTAAATACGAATATATCTAGACTTTCAATATAAAATATGATATATATATTCATTTTATATATTCATATAATATATTTATACAGGGTGGACCATTTAAGTTGATAATGCGAAATATCTCAAGAGCGAAACGTTGGAGAAAGAAATGTTTTAAATAAAAGTTGTATGGTTTAAAGAAGAACGTTTATAGGGCGCCATTGTACGTCACCCTTTACGTTTCGTTTTTGAGATATTTCGCATTATCAACTTAAATGGTCCACCCCATATATGTATATATATTGGATCTGTACATGTATTTTACGTTGAAAATTTCAATATTCGTGTTTAAAATACTAAGGATGTCTAAAGTGAGATACGCGGATACATTATACATCCGATACTTTTACTTTAATCGCGCGTTTCCGCAGTGTCGAGCTTTCCACATACTTGTGATGTTTTTTGCTGCTAGATCCGCGTTTTGTGTCCGCCGTCCGTTCCGTCACACTCTGCTCGGACGAGGAGTCCTGTTATACGCGCCGCAATGTTGCTTCTTACAAAGTGTTTTCTTATCATTTTGCCGGGAACCGACATGTTCCAACAGTCCCAACAATTTACTGCTTCCTGATCCTTTTCGTCAACGACCGTCATTTCCGATGGTTCTTTCCCGAGCAATAAACGGGTATCTATCGTAAACATCGTAATTTTTTAGCTGGACCATTGGAACTCTTCTGGCATTATCGACTCTTAGTTCTACCTCCACTGCAACCGTCATATCTCCCGTTGAAACGAAAACTGACTTCCGGATTTTATCCCCAGGAAAAAAACTTTTGAATTAATATGATGATGAACGAGCCGACAACCACTCTGGATGAGGGAAGCAAAATCTCTGTTTTCTACGAATAAAATTCGGCCCGAAGAATCAGAAATTCTATTTCCTTCGAGCAAACAAAATGCGTCTGGCTCTTTCATCGCCACGCGTTGATTCAACCAAACTTTCGCGCAGTTGGCTCTCGCTCTCGTTCTCGTTCGTCGCCCTCAAGAGCAACACCTCCTGCACCAACCTGGAAGTAAAGCGGAGCCGTCGCAGAGTCCCGAGTTAAAGCGTTCCATTCCCTACACAGTTTAACGCAACATCGCGGTGTTCTCGCACTCCTCCGCGCTCGCGCCACTCAGTCCTTAATAAACGGAGTGTCGATCGATTTTCGCGGATCCGCGGGTCCGCCGGCACATCGGCCGTTCGTGTGCTCCGAGCGGACGTTTCGTTGGGAACGACGACGCAGTTGGGACGCAGGACGCCGCGATGTTGCAATGATCGCGCACCACTCCGACGCTTTATGTCACCGCCGCGCTCATGTTAATACACCTCCGCACACCACGGGCGTTGATTAAACGGACATCGCGATCACGGCGCGCTGATGGAGCCCGGTGTGTTACGCAGGCACGCTCCTTCGACGACGCAATCTCTCGGCTGGACGTGGAGAGACCGAACGCGGCTCAAACAACGAGCACGATAGGCGCGTAGCATACGCGAAACTGCGGAACATCCCGGTGTGAGATGCATTCTCTATCGGTATCGGTCATATACAGCTTCCGATCGGCTGGAGGCGATCGCAGATCCTCACGTCGGGGATCAGGAAAATCGGTGCACTCGGCGCTTCGCGCAACGGCCAGGCGACTTCGCGAAAGAGCACAACCAGGATTCGGGAAACGCGGCGATCGGTCCGGGTCGAAACTGCCGGAGGATGTCGTCCGTTAAAAACAATTGGCTTTGATTTCAGCGGAGAAACAGGTCACGTAGATTCGAGTGGAACAAGAGAGAGAGAGAGAGAGAGAGAGAGAGAGAGAGAGCCAGCGGCACGACGTCGGCGGGACGAGAGACTTCGCCGGGTTGCTTCGATTGCGTTATCAGAGTTGCATTTGAGGGAATATTACCACTACCCGTGCATACACACACCGGCGTTCTCTCCTCGGGCGAGCGAAACTTGCCTCACTACCTAGTTCGCTCGAAAATGAAGCTGCGAGCAGCAACGTTGACGAGTACGTCGACCTTTCGGAATTCTGCGGCGGAATCGCGCGATTTACACGGCTGACGTGCGACAGTTTTACCTGCGTGTGCATGTGTGTGTGTGTGTGTGTATGTGTGTGTGTGTGTGTGACGAGGTGGAAAAATATATAAAATAATATCGCGCAATGCGGTCTCTCCCTCCTTTTATTTCTCCTGCCTTTCCTTCTCTTTCTCGCCATCTAATTATCTATCCCATGATGAGGCTTGACGAATTGTATCAAATTCCGTGGCAAATGTTACTCACGCTATTAGCTGAAGCAAAGTTAGCGCCAGCTCGCAATTAACGCGCGACTAGAGAGCCCTGCGAGTCACGGCTGCACCGATCATTCAATTGCGATCGACCGTTCGCTTTCATTTTCTAGATCACAACTGCGCTGCCGTGCAGCCTTATGTAGGGGGAAAGGAAATTCAGTTAATCAAGATTAATGGTAACCCACATCGCGCGCGCGACAAGCCCTTGGGACCAGTTGCACTTCGATCGCACCTCGTTCAACCGATCCTCCCCGGATGAAAAAGGAGTCCCCTCTCCCGGAGAGCGATCATTCTCAGAACGATGAGCACTGATCGCCGTCTCGTCGTCGCGTATATAACCGGCGCAGCGACAACGACAACTACGACGAGATCGGACGTAACGCTAACCCACATTGTACGGTGCGAGCAACCCCCCGGAGGTCACAGAGGTGCAACCAACCCGGGAGGCGGTCGCGCGCGCGATCGCATCCCTCGCGAATCCGTGCGAGTGCGATTGCTCGGTTTACTTACTTGTCGGGAGGCTTGGCGTGTGCGTGTGTGCGTGTGCGCGCACTCGCTGGAAATAGTCGAGATCGTGGTCGAGAGGAGAGCGCGATATCACAGTTAAATAATCACGAGGCCGTAGCGCGACTGGGTGAACGCGCGTCGTATCGTGATGGCATGCTACTACATACGACAGATCCAACACGAAGTCCGGCGAGCGACTGTTGCGTCCCGGTGGTTCGCCCCGTGCCGCGGGCCACGACTCCGCTCGGCGCGGCGCGGCGCAGCTCGGCACAGCGTCGATGCGAGCGTTCCCTGTGTACGTACAGTTACTCCCATTAATATTCGGAGAGATCGCGGCATTTCGTGACATGTCGTGACGAATTGTTAGCGAATCCTGCAGCGAAGTGATATGCAGTGATTCGTTTACCTTCGGATGTCGACATCGAGGCACTCGCTCATCCTAATTTACACGATCGTACACGAGCGACCCTGACTTTCCTCTAATTAGGGAGTATCGCATATCCCAGGATATATCTCAAACGACACATGGGACAGAGACACAATTCGTGTCGAGCAGAGATGCTCGGACGGTGATTGACCTGAAAATTGACAGATGAGCAATTTATATGAGAGTAAGTTGGATATAAAATTACGTATAGCGTAGATAATCGAGACGAAGGGAGTTGGTTTGTCGCATCTCAAGTAACTCTTTAGAGCGCAAAGTAATGAGACTTTAGAAGTGCCGTAATGCACGAGTGTTTATAGAAATAACTGTACGTATGGTACGCGTACGTGTGCACTCCGTCTCCGGCGGCTTCGCGCACTTTTCTCGCTCGTGTCCGTGACGCTCCTCCTCTCTCGCAGGAGCTTCTCTCCTTGCCGTGATGCTTCGCGCGAATCGTTACGACGCTCCCGGGTTCGAGGGCCGCTGAACCCCTCCCCCTTGCATCAGTTCCCCGATTATTTACATCCCCGATGTCTGCGATCACGAGCATACAGCTTTTCTTGATTTACGATGTGTGTGCGTGGCTGTGTGATCTCTCGGTCGTATCGATCAAGTGTCCTGCTTTCCCGAGATGTTCCGAGCTGTAACGTAATTTGTCTAAAATCGATCGTGTCGATGTTAATTGACTGTCGGTTAACCGTTTCTTACCGTTCCGACTTAAATCATAACGTTTTGACGTAGCGACGGGCAATCTTATTTAATATCTTATTTAATGTGATTAATAAAATAACTAATTTCGGTAAAAAATTAAGATTAAAATGAATTAAATTAATTAAAATTAAAATTAATAAAATTGACTTTATACTAATTTTAACCGGCCCGAGTCGTAGTAAGGCAGTTGGAAAAATAAATACTTCAGGTATAAAATAATAATGAGCAATAATATGCGGGTGACTGCAATCTACCGGATTGTCGCTAATGATACATTTCGAGGAAGTAAGAAATATCGCGCATGTTAATTTACACTCGACGGATCGCTCAGTAATGTTTTCTCGCTACCGTCTCGTGTGCTAGCAGATATGTATCTATCCACCTGTTTCTTTCGTTAATATCTTCCCTTCACTCGATCGTAAATTACAATTACATTATAACGAGCAAAAATGCCGACGACGGCGAGAAAGTGCAGAAACACGTGTGTTACGCAGTCTCTCAACGTATATAGAAAAAGCCCGTTATTTTTATATCGTCGATCGGCTTTTCTCTGCACCGAGGGAACGCTTGTTAACCCCTTCGGTATACTTACGATGGCAATCCGATACATGCGAATATATCGCAGTCGCTAAACTATCAACTGTGTCGATGGGAATATTTCATGTACAATTATAACCTCTAATTTTTCTTCTCCAAAATTATCGGGGATGGTCCGCAAATATTTAGGTTATCTTGCGTAGTAAAAGAAGAAAAAGTTAGCATTTTTCCTTCAAACTGTATTAATCGAGAGAAAAGGAAAAGCGCTTATCAATATAAACGCAGATAAAGTAGTAAATTTATAAGCAGTAGACTATTTTTCTATCCACTTTCTGTTTTATGAAATAAATCGGTAAAACAAAAATAGAAATATATAAAACATAAATAGAGATAGATTAAGTTTTTCAAATACAATGCGGAAAATACCACTAATAAAAGGATAAAACAAAAAGTAGTTTCAAATTTTTTTAGAAACGCTTACAATGTAAAAAAATATATATGAGTGTGTGTGTGTGTGTGTGTGTGTGTGCAACGATGTAGATTTTCAGTAGGAGGAAAAAGGCAAGTTGTGTGTAAACATACCTAGAATAAACGCAGTTTCTATGGAGAAAACCGTGTTACTCATTCTGAATGAAAAATAGAATAGGTTCATTCTAAGGCGTCGGAGAAGAAAGAGAATAGAATACACAGGAAGAGAGAATGGAAGGTAGAATGGTAGCTAAGAGCAATGGACGCCGATGAGTATAGTTTGTTCGAACTTCACTTGGCTATTCGAGCGCTCTCGAATCACCAATGGTGATTGTGCGCGTGCGCGCATTAAGATCGACGCGCCGCAACAGCACTGACCACATTCTCGTTTCTTCCGATAGTTAATGTTAGTCAGATCGGTTGTTCGCGTACACTACGATGGATTCTTTGGCGAATTACGCCAGCGACGGCGACAACAGTAATAATTCGGACGATGCGAAGGTGAGCAATCGTGAAGAATGAACGAAATACATTCCCAATCCCGTCTGGATCCATTCTCGGTCGTCATCGCTCAAGACGCTTCAGGGTAGCGACGTATACCGCTTCAACATGGCTCCTCTATGCGCACTTATTTAATGAATATTATTCCGCAACTTGTATAGACTTTGTGATGCTAGAGATGCGCGTTATTAACTTGGAAAGATAATTTTTTTTTTTATTCTGATGAAATTGAAAGTCGTGAAACGCAATTCTACAATATTTATAGACTGTAATGTAATGTATGAAAGTAAAATGGGAATATAATATGTAATCTCATTATTTTTGTGATTAGCAACAGATTGATTTATACCTCCTTGATATTTTATATCTGTTTTGTCTATGCTCTCTTTTTCAAGACACCTCTTCAAGAGCAGGAAGAGACAAACAGGAGGGCCAGTGATGCCAACTACGACCCGGTACAAATGGACATGAGTGAGGTATAGTAAAAGCATACACCATAATCCTTACTTAGCATTAAGTACGAAACATTCGGACAAAGCCTAAGAAGATACCGCTGTGACTTTATGGGTGCTGTATGTACATGCAAAGTCTTAGGCCTGATACGTAAAGGAGCTAGTATCTGGTTTTGCAAGGTCATGTCAATAAATGATCATCAATTGAACCTGTATCAATTACCTATAACAAATAGGTGCAATCTGCAAGAGGCAGAAACACTATTCGCAGTATTGACAATATTTCTGATCCGACTATCACATGGCACACCGTTGAATTCATTTATGAATTGAAAGCTGGGTATAAAATTAGCCTCCACTATTTGTAATCGGGACATGAATAAGACAAGACCTTGAAACCTTACGGAACACAGGATATAATCAGGCTATCATTGACATAATTAAAATTTAAATAATAAGTAAATGGGAATAGTGCCATTTCGTGAGACAATATTAACACGTAGCTCTGTTGGTAATACATGATACAATATCTACGCATCTCGGCAAGGTCTATGCTGTGTGAGGGTCTTTCAAGACTACCCCCAAGTCCTATTCAGAAGACAGAGGTGAGTAGAGGAAGCTGACAGAAGGTAACACTAACAAAACATCACCATCAAAAAGAAACCACAAGTACAAATATAGTCGGGTGATACTAACTGCGGAAGCAGATTGACGTGAAGGGCCCTCATATTCCTCTCTCTTTCTTGTGACACACAGTTGTTTCGTACGTTGGTTCCATTTACCTACTGGTAATTAACATACAAACATATATACATAAGTTATGATAGAATCTAGCAACACGCAAAAATTTGCGTGTCATCGAACTTTTGTATCAAGTACAACCAAGGATGCGAGAAAATGAATTCCTAATCTATAGAAAAAAAAAAAAATACTTAAGTACTTTGTGTTACCTTTTAATGTCCAATGTTAGAGCGTTCTCTGTAAATTTGTGGGATACAAGTTTCTATAATGTGTACGGTGTTATTTATTCTCGGAAAATTCAACTTTGCGTGTATTGAAGTTTTGTACCTTGAGATAGCTTTTGTGGTAGGAATTAAGAGCTATTTCTATACCTATTGGAATTTGCGAGGGAATCATATTGAAGTTGATAATTTTTCTCTTCTTTAGGAGAGCAACAACAACAATTCCTCCAGGGAATCCAGTAGCGAACGCGTGAACAGTCCCTCAGTGACACAGTCTACCTTCAGTTCGAGAACAGAATCGTCTCGGTCCTTATCCTCTCCGTCAGACCAGAGGTAGGCTGGTTTGTTAATAGACGTATATAATACAGGTGCTAGTGATATTTTTCATAGATATTTGATAAAAAAAAGTGACGATAGAGTTTGTTCCATTAAAAGTACATCAAATTATACACCTGTTATGTACATAATAATAATACGCATCTGTGTGGTATACCCCTGCAGAACGTAATCGTTTTACAGGCGAACCGATCATGAGAATCATACGAGCTCGAAAGACGATCATAAACGAGGAGACCGAAGCGAACGTAGCAGTCGTCACGTGTCTGACAAAGGAGGTCGCCGTTCCTCATACGACGACCACCGAAAACAACGTGACAGCAGTTCTAAAGATAGCAGGGATTCGAAAAAAAGTCGGGACGACGATAAAAAATCACGAGACGATGACAAACGAAAATCGGTCGGGTCGTCCAAAGAGGTCGAGAAGAGCGATGACAGAGAGAGAGGCGACAAGGATCATCATAGGGACGACAGGAGGGATCGCAATCGCGAGAGGAACCGACGCAGGGACCGCGACAGGGAAAGGGATCGCCGGCATTCCAGAGACGACCGGTCGAAGGATCGACACCGAGACGAACGTTCCAGTTACCACAAGGAGAAGGATCGTGCGCGGTCGAGGTCGCGATCGAGGGATCGCGCACCACCGCCATTCAGGACAATGAGCTACCGGGAGGAGAAGGGACGGAATAAACTGGCGCAATTGGAGAAATTGGGGATAGAATTGAAGCCACCCGAGGGCGATGCTATAATACCGGGTGTGCAAAGTGAACAGAGCTATTACAATCCGCTGGCAACGGCAACGGAGGGCAAGTACGCGCAACAGATTCAGAAGAGGAAATTATTATGGAACAAGGTGACACGATACATTGAGCGTAGTATCATTGATCAATATTGTTCATAGACTTGTATACATAGGCTGAGCGTTCCACAAGAAGCTGCAAAGATTCGAAAAGGATGGCTTGTGCCACAGGAATTCGATCTTTGTCCAGCTTCACTCTTATTGGAGGAAGCTGGACGAAGATGGAAAGGGAATATATAGCTGTTCTTTATATTTTGTCTTTAAATCTTTCATGAGAAAGCACAACCTATGCATATATATAAGTTCATGGTATTGTCCAGTAACGTTCATGATCGGTATATGCAACACACTCTTTATTGCTGTTATTTCTTTGTAGTCAAAAGACGACGGTAATAGCACTTCAACTGCAGCTTCCACTGCCAATACGTGGATGGGTACAACTTTCACGCATGATCAAGATGGAAAGGTAACTGCGAAATTCAAGCGTTTGATGGGTATAAAGGGCGATTTACCCAATGCTTCGGCAGTAGGAACTAAACCGGACATTTTGAAGAAACAGGAGGAGATGTTCAATAATATGGAACAACAATATGAAGTAGCACGTGCTACGACCCATACTCAACGCGGTGTTGGGCTAGGCTATGCTACTGGCGGCTATCAATTTCCACGATAAGATAGAGTCGAATCTTCACTTCGCCGCACGCTTTCATTTAATACCGATAGACAAATGTACGACATGTAGTTCTGTTTAACGTTCGGCGAACGATCTAGTAGAATATTTCAACTGATAATATAAGTTTTATTTCTAAGCCTTTCATTCAAATCGCCTCAACTTGATAGTGGATTATAGTTAATTTAGTTTTCAAAGTTCACCATGATGTGTATTTTTGTTGTAAGCACTGAAAATAAATTTATTAAGATTATCTAGAAAGAACTCTGGCATAGATACGTTCTTTATTTGTTACGATGAAATCTGGTTTCCTTTTATTTTCATCTATGTTTCTATTGACCTCATTATAATATATATTTTTATATCTGATTTATGTGGCTATTTTATCGGGGAAGAAATTATTTGATTTATAAAAATTGGTACACATGTGTGAGAAAAACAATCCTTCAATTTTTATGAATAGAATAAAACGCGTCTGACCTGACATTGAGCCGACTACTACGTGCTCGATTCTTAACTGAAGATGGTAGCGACTCGTAGCGGAAATTGTGGAACTAAGAAGATAACGGGTCATATCGTAAAGGGTATTTAAAAATCTGTGGATCAAGTAATTTTTTCTATATATATATATATATATATATGTTTATTTATTTATTATACTTGTATGTGAATATTTTTAATGATACTTAAAATTATATCCTTTTTTTAGTTTTAAATTATGAGTAAGTTGCTTTTACTTTGACAATTTACTTTAAACTTTATTTTGCTGGTGTCAACAGTTCTTATACCATAAGCGTTCTTATATCCAAAGCATTTAATTTATATAAAATATAAGAGTACAAAGAGTACAATAAATTGTTACACTAAATACACTTCAATAAAAACAAAAACAACGGCAATGACGTCATTAAGAAGAATGCTAGGGCTACGTTCCGAAATTCGCTGCCAATACTGAAAAATACATAGTTTGTGTCACGTATACTATAGAATTTCAGTGCTGGCAGTGAATATCGAAACACAGTCTACACAAATGCTCAATTAATGCACATTTTATGCGCAAGTGCAGAAAGTTCATTTAAAAAGGACAAGCTTACAAAATGGAGTGTTTGATTTGAATTTATTCGTTACATTGTGGTCGACATTCGACGAGGTTTGTGAGACGCTACGGTCAGCATTGCACACGTGTAAAGGTCGTGGAAAGTTTCGTTGAACGGCAGTGAAATAGTATTTATCTGATATATTTCATTATCCTCAATGGAGAATTTCATAAAAATTGAGAAAATTGGAGAAGGTGAGTGTATAGAGACCTGCAACAATTCTGTTTTTAATGTACTGTGTAATACGTGATGATATTTGCTCATCTCTCTTTAGCAATAATTTAATAGTTGTTGAAGAACCATATACCAATTACACATATTATTGCGAATTATAATAAATGGAGAACATATATTTTTTCTTTTCCTATCACACATGTAATCTTTGTAGGTAGTGTTTGCTATATTTGTCTCTTATATTTGTTTCTTATATTTGTTTATTGTTGTATTTATATTTCCTTCATTTATAACAGGATAAGCAAATATTTTTGTTAATCGAACATTGCATTATTTCTTATCCTTTATGGTTGGAAAAGTCATTTTTATACTTATATTTAAACATAAGTCTTTTGAATGGATGATTTGATTAACAATATTAACTGATAGTGCAGTATCTTCAAATCTTAATGTTCTTCAGGTACATATGGAGTGGTATATAAAGGAAAACACAAAAAGACAGGAGAAATTGTAGCTATGAAGAAAATTCGTCTAGAAAGTGATGATGAGGGAATACCATCAACCGCTATCAGAGAAATTTCAATACTGAAAGAATTAAATCACCCAAACATTGTAAGTTTAATCGATGTGTTGATGGAAGAAGCTAAATTGTATCTTATTTTTGAGTACCTAACTATGGACCTGAAAAAATATATGGATACTTTAGGCAATAAACTAATGGAGCCAGAAGTTGTCAAGTCATATTTATATCAGGTTTGTGTAAATAGAAAGATTTTAAGATATTCTTCATATCAGTAATGTTGCATTTGTCATGGAATATATTATATATGGAATATATATAATTGATATATGTATAATTGTTATGATAATCTAAAATTTCTAAAAATTAAGTAATATTAATATTAATATAATAAATTAATAGTAATATTAATGCAGGAGCTTATTGTTTTAGATTACACGTGCAATTCTATTTTGTCATAAACGCAGAATACTACATCGTGACTTAAAGCCGCAAAATTTGCTCATTGATAAAAATGGAGTTATTAAAGTGGCAGATTTTGGGTTAGGAAGAGCATTTGGGATTCCAGTTAGAATATATACACATGAAGTAGTGACTTTGTGGTATAGAGCACCTGAAATTCTCCTTGGTGCTACTAGATATTCCTGTGCGATCGATGTATGGAGTATTGGGTGTATTTTTGCAGAGATGACAACAAAAAAGCCACTGTTCCAAGGAGACAGTGAGATAGATCAGTTGTTTAGGATATTCCGGTAAAATTTTTATAATTTGTCATTATGAGAGCTATTGTCATTATTCAGCTACTGATTAATGATAGTGCTATTTTACAGAATATTAAGAACTCCTACAGAAGAAATTTGGCCAGGGGTCACACAATTATCGGATTACAAAGCGACATTTCCAAATTGGATGACAAATAATTTGGAATCGCAAGTGAAGAATTTGGATTCAAATGGGCTAGATTTATTAAAATCTATGCTCACTTATGATCCTGTGTACAGAATTTCCGCACGAGCGGCATTGCTGCATCCTTATTTCAACAACATAGATAAAGGCAAAATACCAGCTGCATGAGACGCTCTTTCATGAGAACGAAAGTTCGTTCGATTTATTCAACTTTCAAGCAGAAGTGTTTTAATTGATAATAATACGAATTATTTTACATACATTCTATATTTTATCAGGTCACATTTAAATTAACAGTTAACGTTACATGTTCTCGAATTCATGTTTTACTTGCTTTTATATTTAGTTTGCTTCATTGTATAATATTACATAACATCCCACTCGCAGTTTCTGCACACTGTTTCTGGATGAAAAGGATTTTCAAAATTCTTTTTTGAAAATTTTTAAAGAGTCAACTTTCCTGGGTACATCATACCGATGGTAAAATCTGATCATTCCACCTTATTCCTTTATACAATTTATAGTTGTAAATGGACCAACAGAACTGATATCTTGTTAAACAAGATTTCATTATATACATGTATTTCATTACATACTCATAACTAAACATATTACATAGGTGCCTTAGGAGAAAATACACTTCTTAAAAAAATATAATATTATTTAATTGTAAAATTCTGCACCATATGTATGTTTTTTAAATAAATATTTTTTATTATAGTGACAAAATCAGTTTTGAGAAACATTTATTTTGAGATAACAAAGATTTGTGCGTGGATGAAATTGACGTATCTTATAGAAAATGAGAGATCACAAGATATACTATCCATTATTTATTGTCACATTAAATTTGTATTTAAAACTTATTAGACCGAATTTAAATTAAAATTCAATGAAACTGAATAAATTGAATCTCGATGTAAATTGTATTATATTTTATCGTCAATACAAGGGCAATAAAAATTATACATACATCCGCTATGTACATACTATTACAGAATTATAATCCAAATTATATCAATTGGTACCAAAAAAAGTAAGAAAGGAACTTTGATAACATGTATAAGGAATTAATGATTCTAAGAAATATTTAACATTGTTATGTCTCCTAGAGTATCGATGCGTCATCGCACTTACTCACTTTACCGAATGTTTATAACAATGAGAATTCTTTGATGACGTGAGTTTTCTGAAGAGAAAGAGAAATGGTGCACATATTTGGCCTCAATACGGTTGGAACATTTGTCTTAGTAATGCAATTTGGAACACAACTGCTGGTTAAAACTCGTTTTTTATCAATTCCTGGAAGTTTTCTCGTTAAATCACTGGCTGCATCCCAAGCTGCTTCGAAAAGATAGTTCAGACCAAATGTACATTTCGAGACCGAATGTACAGATATAGTTTTGTCGAAATACTGGATTTATCATATAAACAGACAAGGAAAATGAATCACAGAGTACCGACTGATTCGCGCAGAACAACGATACATTTTACATGTTGGTATCCGTTAGTGTGATACATCTTGGTGAATGTATGCGTGTCCTGTAATTGCTTCTAGAGTGGGGTACTGGCCACATAAAGTCCGTCTCTCCATTGAAGCTTCTGTTTATAGCATACGAGCATACAGACTGGCAGCAGCTTCTACAGTAAGTACGCATTCCCGAGTTTTTAACTCCGATATTTCTTCTTTCATGTGTAACTTTTATTTCTTCAATTTCTTTATTTTTTATTTTTTCTCTTTTTTCGTTTATGTCTTCGCTACGATGACTGCATATACATTGCGTTTTTATTTCTGTCTTTATTCTCTTGTTTTTTATGTATTCTTGCTTGCTTTTGTATGTAATTCGAATAGGGAATATCGTTCGTTTTCTTCGCGGCGCATGTCACTGAATGACAGTTTTAAAAATAAAAAGTTTTTTTTAATGAAACAAATAGAAACCATCATTCCTTTTCATCAAGTAAATTCTGATCGTGTATTTGTAATAGATTTTCTTGCGTAAGCAAGAAATGTGACGATTGATTCGTGCATATTCGGTGTAAAGACATTTTTCGCGGAATGATAGGTCGCGCAGGTCGATTTTAATCACCCATTTCATATCAAGCTCCGTCGCAGTATTATATAAAATAAGAAGAAAAGACGACTATAGGGACGTGCATGTATTCGCTATTTAGACGAGCGCACAATTACAAACTCAGAGGTCTTTGATCCGTGACGTGTGTCCAATGTGAGTGATTCATCTTCCACTGGTTGTACTTGAAATCCAAGATCACGATTATACGCGAGTTTAAACATCGTTTTACTTGCTAAGCGTGTGGCATTAAACGCAGATCGTTACGTAGCAGGAAGTCACATTAAAATTGCAAAAAGTATTCGTCACTACTTCCGTTGAAATCTTTATTATTGCGTTGAAAGTAATAGCCGTTTCATGTTGCTGACTATTTTCGAAGTATGCAATACATGTCGTAAAATGCTCTCGTTAAAAATTGTCATGCAATTATTATTTTATTTATTATTATTGATTATACTTTCCTCAATGTACTCAAACCTTCTTTTGTCAAGAGACATTGACATTTAGAGTTACCGATAATTACAGTATTATTATCAATACAAATTTGTTTCCGCAACTGTAGATGTCAATATTACAATAAACTGTACACAAAATACTATGTATGTGTAATTTATCACATAACACTATATATACATATCATTTATCAAATATGACATGTAATTTATTACATATGGTTCGTACATGTCGAGATGAAATTAATTAATCATAATAAGCGTTTTACGATGTGTACGACATTCCAATTTTCCGGATAGATAAATGATGCATTTTTAATGGTAGATTAATTTTGTTTCCGGACATTTGCGTATCTCCATCTAAATGTATCACTGACCTAATTTACGGTTCTCGTGTTTCCCGATATGAAATTTCTCAGAAAATACGATTCGACGAGTATAGGAAAAATCCATCTGTAATCGTGTCGAAAGGGGAATTGCATGTTGTTTTTGACAATGTATGCGTAAACAGACGCTTATTCATTGACTTTATCAAATTGCGGGAAAGTCCGAACATATTGTGCGACTTCAGTTCGCGCGTATATCCGAGTATTAATCTCTCTCCTTTCCTTTCTCTCTCTCTCTCTCTCTCTCGTTTCAGAAGATGCAGTCCGTGACCTGGTGCTTGGCATTGGCAGCATGCTTCGCATTCGCGCAAGGTCACACGTATCATATGGGTGCCTGTCCCATTGTGGAACCCATGCAGGGTTTCCAGATGAATAGAGTAAGTCGAACAAATTGTCGCTCTGTCTGTCCTTATCAGCAGCGAAAGATAACACATTTCGTCAAATATATTTCGTTTCACTTCGTCGTATTTGCTATTATCTGATCGCGGATATTAATTTTGAGTCGAATCGCTTGCCAGCTACGCTGCAATGCAGTCTCCTGAATTATACGATTGGCTTCGCTCAGTGATAATCGGCTTGACGAAAATTTCCAGTTCCTCGGCATATGGTACGTCATCCAGAAAACGTCGACGGCCAGCAAGTGTATCACCTACAACTACACGCGGGGCGAGGAGCCAGGTGAATACCTGATAACGCAGGACTCGGATCATCCGATCTTAGGTAAGACGATCGAGGGATCGACACACGATCGCGAAGAGAGCCGTATAATGGGCGAAGGAAAGGGAGACGACTCGTCTTCTGCGAAGAACGTATGGGACCCATTCGACGGTCATAAAGGCCCGTCAATGAAATAAACGTCTGGCAAATGGGATGAATTATCCGTAATTGTGCGATACGTATGCGCAGGTCTTACGTCACTGCAACACGAATATCACTATACCGGCGAGCTGAGTGTACCGGAACCCAGCACTCCAGGTCGTATGGAAGTCCGTTTCCCTCTCAGTAAGTGTTCGAGTTCATGTGTTACGGTAATTTGTAATTTTGACGTTATAGCTTTGAATCCCGTCGGGGGAAGAAGAAAAGTCACTTTCCGTTTTTCTTCACTAATAAAAGCAATTTTTCTCGGAATGTCAGAGAGTTCTCCGCGTAAAAATAACATCGACGGCGCGGTCAATAATATAATTCTAACACGGAGACTTTTATTTCGTCTCTTCTGAGTGTATCCTGAAAGGCTTCTTCCTGCCGCAAATGACAGTGCATTCTAATTTCGCGACAAACGACTCCTCTGCTCCTGCTTAATAACTCTCGTCCGAGCGATGAATTGCCAGTTAGGCTTCCGCGTTGCGTAATTAAGGTTTTGCCTCACCAGGTGTGGCCGGAAGTGCGTCCCACGTGGTGTTTATGACTGACTACGACAATTACGCCGGTATATTCACCTGCCAGAAGTTGGCGTTCGCCCATCGACAAAGCGCGACGATTCTCTCCAGGAGCCGGATGTTGGAACCGTCCCAAGTGGACAAGATACGTCACAGACTGAGCCAGTACGGCGTAGATCCGTTCGATCTGAGCATCATATCGCAGTCGGGTTGCCCGCAGGGCAATAACTCCCTAGACATCAACGTCGACCCCAGCACCTTCACCTCCGAGAGCATCGGGAACGCGGTGCGCAAAGCGGGCGAGAAAATCGGCGACGGAGTCCAATGGATCGCCCAAGCTGGTAGCAACGTTTATCACAAGCTTACCGGAACCGAAGAGAGCGATCACACGTCGTCGACGACAGATACAAATAGTTACAGCGCCCCAGCTAACGCCAGGAACGTCGGTGGCAAATACGAAACCAACGAAGTGGAGTGGATCCCTTGAGTTATCCTGAGTGATTCCGTTAATTTTTTATTATATTCTTATACACTGGTTGCGATCTTGATACGATTAGACATAGACGTAGCGAGCGACGATAGACCCATTAAGATATTCTTTTTGACGCACGTATGACTTTCTGTCGTTTTCTTTGAGAACATATGCAGAATATTCTGAATGGATATCTATATATAGAATCGCAATATAAAAAAAGACAGCGCAAACTTCTCAAATATATATATATATATGTATAAATGCCTGAAAAATAGGATGGAGCAGCAACTTATAGGGCAGTTTCATAATTAAAAGTCTCGTACTTTGGGTGGTCTTAAGTTTATCTTCAGATCCTTTGCTAATGAGACGACTTTTAACAATATTTAAAAATGAATTTGAGACAAACTTAAATATGTGTAAGATTGGACTATAAATACAACCTTTTGACACTTTTCTCAAAAGGGTTACTATCCTATTACCATACGTTATAAATGATCAAATTAAAAAGAGATTTCGTTTTTAATAATATGTATATTATACTATCCTATTACCGTACGTTGTAAATGATCAAATTAAAAAGAGATTTCGTTTTTAATAATATGTATATTAGGGCACAAAGTCTGTGTGTCAATATGCAATAAAATTTTGCCTAAGCACAATATCTATTTATTATATGTGTATTTTCTCGTACAACCAAAAATACAATTAATAATTCATATTTAAATTTTTCTCCTTATTGTTTCATCTCCCATTGCTATGCTTCAAATCTATTATATTAGTGAAGGTTTTGCAATTGAACGCGATGTTTTTGTTATAGATAGTGTTGCGAAAAATTTTATCTCAAAAATATTGCCGAAAAATTGTAGAATTGTAGTTGTTTTCAATATGTTAGAGAACCTTTTTTTCGTTCCATTTTGAGTTCTATCTGTTTAACACGTTCATGCGGCCCCTCAGCAAACGGCTGTTTACGCGTTTGTTTTTTATTATCAGTGACAAACCGGGACCCTCGAAAAGACTCGGTTCAATGCCAGATCGTGCAAAAAAACGACTAAAAATAAATAAAAGAAAACATAACTTTGGCCACCACACGAAATTTAAATTTTCAGTTTGGCAATGAACGTGTTAAAGATTCAATAAAATAATTTACTTAGTTAAAGACGTAATAAATAATTCAGTTTTTTTTCTATTCAGATTTTTAATTAAATCAAAATAAAGCAAAGGAACAAGCAAAGCTACCGTCGACAAAATGATTCACGATATTTTTATTCTTGTATAAATTCAACAGAAAGAGAAACGTGAGAGACCGTCGTACAAAATGACCCCACGGAGTTTAATGTCAAAGGTCAGGTCTTTATTAGGAAACACCTACACACCCTAAATTTTGTCGTTAACAGATTCCACGGTGGAATCTAAGAAAATCAATCGCGCTTCACTTATTGGGGGGTGCTCTACATAAACAGTCGCCGTTAGATGATGATTGAAGTTCTCCCCTAATGCGTGCGTAACGTGACTGGTGTACGCGTTCCGACAGTATATGCATGACCGACAGTATTAGCATCCTGTCTCGTTCGAACCATCAGTCTGATAACAACTGTTGACGAGCGACAAAGCAATTTTGTGGTTGCGACAGTAAACGGATCGTCGTGGAAATTTTTGAGTGCGATCACATCGCACTCGCAGTAAGACCTGAAGCGACGACGAGCCTCAAAACGTATGTATCCAAAACGTATGCTCCAAAATTAACGCACGAGAATATTTACTCGCATACTCCGGCAAGAATTCTCTCGCCGATGTGCTTCCAATATCGTTCGTTGATTTTTTTTTATGCAATTAAATCAGCTGACGCACCGTTTAATCTCGATACGACATTGCACTTTCCATCGGTTTAAGCATTAAAATTATAATGCCAAAAAAGATTTGCGCAAGTCGCTGTTTATTTTATTTCTTTCCTTCTGAGTACAACAATGATTCATTTATGCGGATATAATCTCATTCATTTATGCGAATATTAATTTTTTATGACCTGGCGATCGTCATTCGATCGTAATTATTCAATGCGTTATCTATCAGCTGCGACACGTCACATTGAGAGATACATGCAGATATTTTATTTTCAATATTTCGCTGACTGGAAATTATATATAGACAGCAAGCATGGAAACTGTAAGAGGATTTTTAAAGAAAATATTTAGATATCTTGAAAATGATGTCGAAATAATAATCATCATACTCATCATCTAATAATCATCATTTACCAAAAGCATCTATTTGAGCTCTTTGAGGCATCTCATTTGAGGGATTTCTTCAAAAATGTTATCTTTATGATATTCTTTATGATCATTCTAAATAATATCTTCTGTTTAGTCTGCCATAAAAAAATATCATAATGTTGTGTGGTTTCTAAGCCATCTATATGTGCACGTACATTATTTGATACGGGCGACTTAGAAACTAGATAGCATTATAATGTCTTTAGTGATTTTAATGATTAGTAACACACACACATGCGCGTAACATCAATGTTATTAATTTTCTACTCAACAATATAAATGCAATACAACACGTGTGTTATGTAGCAGTTATAATTGTTAAATGCGAAATTATAACGTTGATGTTATGCGACATCACTTGACTAAAGTTGATGTTTGGATATGTAATCGGATATGTAATTAATCTGTTAGATTATAGTGAATACCAATGTATCTCTACTTGTAACAACACGACGTTGTTTTACATATTATACTATTCATAATAATTCAAATTGTGATTAGTCATTATATTCATCATATTTATGTAATAATGATAATAATAATAATAATAATAAATTTCAAAATGTTTATCATATTATAATAATGACACAGTTTATCTTCCCTAAGAAACATTTGCAACGTTATTTTTTAAATATCATAAGTATATATCAGATCTCTTTTAGACATCATGGACAAGAACTCTATATGTTGATGTGCTTTGCTTTTTTAAATATTTTGTTGTTTGTCTCGTACGTACACATTTTACATAATTCGTAGCACCTTCGCGGTTTTTCTCTTTCTCTTCTTTTTACTCATATTTTACCATGCCGCACTGTTCCCACCGAGGTATGCGTCGGGTCAACCACGGGCCATGAATATTCGTGTCGAAAGCGTCACACAGATATTTTAAATTTAAGATAAGTTTCAAATTTGAGAAATATTTTAGACACACATTATTTTCGCGATATCTTTCTGCTCCAAAAAATCGGTACATTATACAACTGAGGTAATTCTGAGATATCCTTCAAGTTATCAGATTTAGAAGTGAGATACCTCTTGAAGAACTTTTCGATAACATGTTATTGCTAGGCTAATTGAATAACATTTCGACGTATTAATAATCTCTATATCTGCCATCTTTGCTACGCTGTAAGAAATGCTAAAGCTGTTTTATAACGCTTTTCGATTTTTCAACCGTGTGGTAATGCCTGAGCAATGTCTCACTGTAAATAAATTCTCTGGTTGTGATAACACCTTAAACGTATAATCGCATGATAATGACACCCTTCGACGAGATCTCCACGACGCTTTAAACGACGATCTCCTGAGCGAGATTTATGACGTTCTCTCCTTCTGACTTAGAGAATTGTAAACCGCACATACACACCCTCCTCCTCGTTCATTTGTTACGCACAGCGGCGACAAGCCCGGCGCGGAGCCGCGGGGGTGGATCGTAGGGTGCGCAGTTTAGACTGACGTCGGCAGGCTCGCGCATCCGCTATGTTTCCGGGCATTTCATCCTTCAGTCGCATTCGTGTATTTGTCTGTCCCGGACAGTCAGACGGGGCCGTTTTCGCACCTCTCTTGAATCACACATTCGTGATCGTATCGTCTTCTCCGGCGGAGCGACGTAAGGCTACGGCGATTCGGTCGGAACTGGTTCACCTTCGAGGCTGCATTTCGTCGCATCGCTTTCGACACGAATATTCATGGCCCGTGGTTATGACGCATACCTCGGTGGGAACAGTGCGTGTGGCATGGTAAAATATATGAGTAAAAAGAAGAGAAAGAGAAAAACCGCAAAGGTGCTACGAATTATGTAAAATGTGTGCGTACGAGATACACAACCCTCGGGCTGTCACAGGTGCTTACCCCGCAACCACCAGTGGCGCCATTTGCTTTCAAGTTTGAACAAGCGCCCGAGCGCGTTAGAAAGAAATTCGATTTTAAATTTGACGTGCGGTTTTCGGCTTTGAAGTCATACCCTCGACTTTGTAACGTCATTTATGAAAGACCCGACGGGGAGTGTTGAGATTGAGCTTTGTCGTGTTAATTTCGATTTATTCCGAGCACGGAGCACGGTTAGATATGCCGTAACACCTTTTTGTTTTGTTATTATAATTTTTATCATTGATTAATAATTTATTCAGCTCTGAGCGCTCCGAGCGCACTAATTTCTTCGGCGCTTCTTTCGATCGCAGAGCCCCGTGTAGCTACGATTTTTAAGAGCTTCCTGCGATGTTCAGGCTTACACACATGACATACGTACATGAGTAAACTTGAAGAGCGTACGAGTAATACGCTTAGCAATACGATTACGGCATGTTGTAACACGTGCGCTGATGTATTCACGGTAGATTCTTAAATACGTCTCCATCCTCGAATCTCTCGTCGTTACTTTCGAATTCATCGAATCGAAACTCGGAGATACCTTTCGCAAGAAGAGGTAGTAACGATTAATGGGAAATAACTGGATGAGATTGCATTGTCGTTGTCGCGCCGTCCCTGTCGAGCTACGCTCTTGAATAACCTTTCTGATGAAAGCTTCAAAATACTACTTGTCGCGTTCACGTCTCTCATGTGTTTCACGTGCTTCACGCTCTTCCGCAAACCTTGCCGTTAGAGTCTAAAAAAGAGCATGTGTAAAAATATATCGCGGCTCGGTTGAGTACGTCGTGCCGTTTAATAGCCGGGTAAGAGATAAGAGTTTTTTATATTGTTGTAAAGTAAAAAAAAATTGTGCTTTTTTTTTTATATTGTTGTAAAGAATGCGTTGCAGAGAGATAAGGGTATGGATGCGGCTGACGATACGGTTTCATAAAACGGTATTTTTATATTTCATATTTCGTCGTATGCGCGTGGTGTGTGTCGCGTCTTTCATGCGGGTCGGCTAGACTGATTCGATAACAATCGCGATTAGCAATCAACGGTGACCGCCCGGGACGTATTGATATATACGTCTCGTCCCGTCCAGACACTGCGTTCATATATAATAAAGCTGTCCCGCTGGCATACATTGGCACAGAGACAAGTTCGTCAACGATCTTTGTTGACCTACATTGTCGCACATTACGCTTCGGGAAACGCGTACGAATCAATAATGTACGTATCCTTCGCAAGCTTCTACAGGTAACGATAAGAAACTTCTGAAGGCAAACATGCGGGATTATACGAGAAAATTAGTCCGACGGCTCGACGGTTTTGCCGAACTGACGAACTGCGTTTGCGGGCGAAGCAAAGATCGAACGATCGTCCTCGCGAGAAATTTGCCGTGAGATTTCGAGAGAGGATATTTTTGGTGAAAACATTCCGATGAAACATTCTTAATCGTTCACAAGGAGACAGGTTGTAAATTCTAGTTGCAATTCGAACGTTCACCGTCTCTCAAGCAGCTCGTACGAGTGACCCCGCCGCTCCGGGATTTTAATGACGGGATTGAAATGAGCGGCCTTTTTTGTCGGATATACTATGCTGCAACGCGTTGCGATTTTTTATAACAACATATGACGTCGCTGAGGCGAAAGAATTCCATTTACGCGGCTATTATCTACATATAGTAACATAATGTATTTTTCGTGCAACGATAAAGTCACTGCGAACCGACGACCAACCACCGAGCGCGTTTCGCAAGATCGCAGAAAGTGTGAATTTCGGCTGCTATCAAGAGCCGCGAGGAGGAGGATGATGACGGAGGAGGAGCGGGGCCACTTCGCGCGGGAAGATTCGCTCGCTGGACGTGCGAGCGTAGAAAGGACGGACAAGCCGATCTGATGGTCGTGATTCACGACAACGAGCGACAGCTCGTTCACGCCGCGCGTGAATTAGTCACCGTGCGCGATCCCATCCGCGCGGCGGCGCAGGTTCAAGACAGATTCGTCACTGAACTTCGTTGACCCACATCGCGGGTTGTTGCGCACGTGCCCTTCGGGGCGCGTACTCTCGTTTTCGCGAGATCGGCCTGAATTGAAACGACCCAAGCCACGTTACCTATGAACAACGAGGTCGCAGGCCGTTGCGACTGCAATTAAATGCGCCTGCTGACAAGCCCGCTGATAGACGATGTCACTTAACCACCTGCCGGCGCTTATAAACACCGGTGCGCCGATCGCTGAGAAGTGAGAAGGAGAAGACGCACGTGACGCAATTAATTAATGGCCTCGTTGCGTCCGTCATCTCGGTGACGATTATGGCCGCAGCTTCTGTGTTCCAATGGCAAACAGCAGCGTGTTCAGCCGGCAATTACCGTTCGCTCGTTAAATGTTGAATCAATAACGACCTTGGCGGGATCGCGGGGAGACGTTTAGTTTGTGATTGTCGAGCCGCCTCAGCCCCGCGGCAAATATATATCTGCTGTTTGTTGCCGTTTGGACAAGGTAGAGATACGCACAAGCCGGTCCTTATTCCTTCTTTCGAAAGCCGCACTCTTCACCTCGAGCTCTCTCGGGCTAATGTTGGCTGAGATGAGACACACACCCGAGAGTTGAGGCTGGACGATCTTCTCGTCTTTGTTCCTTCTCTGCGCGCGGCCTTGGTGTTTTCGGGCGTCGAGCTTCGTCGGTCCGTCGAAATCTCACCAGTCGTTCGCCGCGATTCATTCCGAATGGTTCGATCAATCACATCTTATCGTTTGCAGATGTTTATTCTGGTGGCTCTCTTCCTGCCGAATCTCTGGAACCCGACGGCCGAGGCGAGCGTGTTGGTCGCCGACACGACCATGTCCAGGATGGTGGAGCTGAACGCTGATGCGCCTTTTTGCGCTCTTTACAACGACCGCGGGATCATCCAGAAAATGGTCCTTGGGGCGGATCCCAAGAAGGTTCGTCAAATGTCCAGCAACCTGGTCGCTGATCTCGTGGAAACCTGCAAGGCTTCGCGAGATAGGGGCAAGGTGAGGCGCTTTGCCTGCAGGAAGGTAGTTCTTTGATAATTGTGTCGCTCGATTCTCCCTTCGATCACACACACATACGGTATATCCTTTAGGTGTATTTTGTAACCAAAGTTAGGGGAGGATTCTCGTTCCCGGGGTAGAATGGCATTTAATGAAATTAAAAAAGGACCAGGAATATAAAGTATCGAGAAGCTTCAAAGTGGATGAGATCTTAATCGTTCATCACAGACACACACACACACACAGTCGCTTTTCTGTTATTTATTCTAGCTGTGTACCCATTGAATATTTATCGTTGCACTGCGCTTCGACTCGTTTTATGGACGATTAATTACACTGTTATCGCTGTCCCCAGAATCAAATGCCTGGCGGTTTGATATATCCCGGCACCAAGTGGTGTGGGCCGGGCAACGTGTCCACTTCTTACGAGGACTTGGGTCATCATACAGCCGAGGACGCCTGCTGCAGGGAGCACGATCATTGCTCGTACACAATAGCGCCGCATGAGTGCTTACGCGGTATATGCAATAATTCACCGTTTACTCGCTCGCATTGCGACTGCGACGCCAAGTTGCGCAGGTGTTTGCAGAATGTCAATACCGAGGTAGCGAACACTCTTGGCGCGCTTTTCTTCAACATCATACAAGTCACCTGTTTCAAGGAGAGACGCCCGTGCTCCCAGTGGCAAAGGTACGCACGATTGTTCTTACTCCGTTTGTTTAAGTACTATCAAGTGATAGTATCTTTCCATCGATCTTCCTCCCTCCCGTCCCTTTATACACACATGTAGGTTTCATTGTTATTTCGATCGGAGACATATAATGATATATTTATGTATAATTTCGTACCATATATCGTAAGCAATTTCTGTTTGTTTATGATGTAAATCAGTTTCTCATGCGTATATTTTAGTTGCGATTTGGAATTCGTGAACGCAACGAGCTATTTCTTAAGGCAACCGCAACGTAATCAGGCATTTGACAGATCGCTAATGAAGACTTTCTACGCCATAATTAGAAGATTGACAGCGGGATCGAGGGATCTTTTTCAAAATATTGTTTTGTTCTTTTCGACGCATCGCAAGAAATGAAGAGTATAGCGTCGTTTTTATGTTTTCTCGGGTCGCTTATCGATATCCGGCTTTGGTGACGGTTGGGTCACTGCTATAAGCTGTACCAGAGTTATCACTGATTGCCATAGCTTAGCACAATGTTAACACCTTGGTGAAAGTCTTGTGGGAGTTAACTTTTCAAATAACAAAATTCGACGATCGCTCCCCGACAGAGCTTAAGTCGCTTAAACCGCTTCTCTTTGCCAGTGAAATTCACTGACTCGACTTTCGTTCTGATCAATGTAATTTATTGCAGGAATGGCTATGCAGAGGCTGTATCCGATCGCTTATGTTCGCAATACAAGTTCCAACCTAGCGACAAGTACGTGCCTATGATGCCTTTGAACATGAACATGTGAATCCGGAAGCGACAGAAGGACAGGCTAGCTAATAAGAAGGCTAGCTAAAGGGCCCCCATCCCGTTATCACGGAGATTACATTATGACAATGACCATTTATTTACATATCAAATTGCCGTCCTTACTGTCGCGCACCAATGTGCACACTGTTAAATACGTAACGCGATCTTTTAGAAATTAAGTTACGTTCCACCTTTCGCAAAGAGACTGTCCTCCTTTAAAGTCCGCGGATAGCGGAGCTGTGAGTTGTCTATCGAATTTATTCCGCTGTATATATTAGTTGTAACCGAGTCGGGAGTATTAATTGCAGCTTGGCCTAATCGAGCCTCGTTACATCTGTAGAGAAAGAGGATATTCCGCTGACCTTAATGGAATATTTTTCAATAATCTTTCGCGCGCTTTGGGAAGAATTTTTCCATTGGATTTCGTAAAGACATATATATAAGAGATATATAAATATATATATGTATATATATATATATTTTTCGATTTCTGTTATGTATATGAAATAGAGAGCAATAGAGGCATATCCGAGATCCAAGTTGGCGTGTACTGATACGACTAATATTATTTTACGCGATCCACCTAGGGAAGTGTACCATAATTCTTTGATTTATCATAGTTATTCGCTCTTGCATTGTTTGATCCGTTATAGCAAGAATATATTATGTAAAATATATTCTTTGACCAAACCATTGAAAATTTTTAATTATGTTTCAACTAATTGTTTCAATGTGTATCTATAAAACTCGCAGAAGATACTTTTCTACGAACCAATAATATTAAAGAAAAGCAGATAATTCAATAGCGAGAATAATGATATATTAATTAACTATTGATGTTTTTCTTAAATTTCTTACACGTAATATTGATTCATGCGATGATACAGCGTCGATATATGTCCTTTATGATATACCTCGCATTATTATATCGTGCGAGAATGGCTATGTTAGTAATTTTAACAAGTGTTTTACTATATTTTCATAAAATATCAATGTATTTATTTTTAAGGTCCAAAAATATTACCTACTTATATTTTTCTAAAGAATCAAATAATCTTAAACTGATCATCAAATTATCTTGTACGGAAAAGAGAGAGAGAGAGAGAGAGAGAGAGAGAGAGAGAGAGAGAGAGAGGTAACATGTTATAATAATAGCATAGAAGAAAAAGAAAGCTTTCTTACGTTACTTTTATAACATATTACCTTTATAGATTTCCCTCTTCAATTATAATTTAATATAATTAAAGCACAATAAAAATACAATTTCTCTTAATATGTTCATATACTTTATCTACTATAAAATATTTTATCGTATTTTATCAATGTAAAAGGTCAGTATAAAAATTTATTAATATTGTATGTTTCATTTGCTATTAAATTAAATAATCATAATAATTATAATATTATTGCAAGTTTATAATTAAATTTAATTATAAGGGAGGATGTATATATTCAATAATATAAAATTGTTCTCGTTTTTTCACTATTTAGATGTGCATTTCATACGCACGATGATTCATATTTACGAAATATATTATTCCATATCATATTATATGTTTTCAAAGGTTACAACTTTTCAATAATATCTCGTCGATAATCTGCAACGAAACGAATTTTCGCGCCGTTCGCTTCGAACATCTCGCGCGATGAGGCGATATGTCGTTCACGGAACGCGAGGTTTGAGTCTACGTGAGTCTCACGCTCGGTGACCAAACGGAGTGGAGTGGGAGTGTATCAATCGTACATGCCGTGATGGATGAAATTTCGACAAACGGTAGGTCTTTTTGTGGTAAAAAACGACGTCGCACTGTCGCGAACAAATTACGCGAGGATCAAGCTGTTGAGAGAGACGTCACGACGGCGATTCGCCGTTCGAGCGACGCGATGTCGACGAAACGTCGACTCCGAATGTGTCGCGCATCGCGTGGGCGTCCTGCCTTCCGTGTCTCTCCGTTTGCCCACGCTTCCGTATTAATAGTTTATTTATGCGTTCCGTCGCGGTTGTCTCCTGGCGACCCGCAAAAAAAAAAAAAACGCAATCTTCGCGAGAGACGTTCAGTGCCACGAAACGGAGCGTGCCATGTCGCGTCAACGACTCAGCGTCGTTGCCTAAATCTTTGACAGTCGTTATCAGCTGCTTGATAACTTGCTCGATCTTACGCCTAATGTCAAGCGTGATTCATGTTTCCTTCCCGAGACATATCCCTCGCGCCTTTTGTTCAGAATTATCTGTACATGTGTATACGTTGCATAATGTAATTGCAAAGGACAAATTTTGGAGCGTGAGAATTTAAATGAGATTTTATATGTCTGGTGAGATTGCGAAATTAATAAACGTCAATATGTCGGTACGAATAGCACGTTTTTAAAAATTATGTTTTCACAATTTAGGAGGATGTTATTGCAATATATAAAAATATAAGTTTGTTATTATTACCTATTAATCATTACGTCAAGATTTATTTATGTATGATTTATAAGCAAAAGGACATATTTCAGAAGCGACATGCAATGTGTTTATCAATTATATTTTCTAGATCCAGGAGGTGGCGAAAGTGGAGGAACATTGATATGCGCTGGTTGTCTTAATGCTATCGATGAAGATGAATTTATACAGGCGTTGAATCAAGAATGGCATATCGATTGTTTTCGGTAAAAAATGCTAACCTTATCACAATGTGTTGTCATAATATAGACATTAAGAAGCACTAATGGGAATATAACTTATCTCTCTGTTATATACTATAATATATATAACAAATTATGTCTTCCAGGTGTTCTGCATGTGACATTGGCCTATCCTCCTGGTATTTCGAGAAAGATGGTTTGTTATTTTGTAAAGACGACTATTGGGCTGCTTACGGTGAAGCATGTCAAGGTTGCGGCCAGATTATCACTGGTCCTGTCATGCTGGCAGGAGATCACAAATTTCACCCAGAATGTTTTGCTTGTACTTCTTGCGGTGCTTTTATCGGAGATGGCGAAAGTTACGCGCTGGTCGAACGCTCCAAATTGTATTGCGGAGTTTGCTATAAACGACAAATGCAACCGCTCAACAGGACAGCAAACTATCCATTCGCCAGGAAGCCACACAGTATCAGGCTAGTCGAGATACCTCCTAGCACCACGGATCCGGATAAACAGAGAGGAATCAAACTCACGTTAGACACAGCTCCCAGTCCTCGTAGCTGCGGCGCTTTGTTGCGTATCTCAGAGTATGTATGACAATATATTTTATATATTCTCATGATATCTTCATACCACACTTGTGTGTCAACTGCGAGAATGACGTTCGTTTGTAAGATAATTTCAATTTTCCGGATTCAGATTTATGTAGATAGGCAGTTGTATTATCTTGTATGATAAGAGTAGAGCACTCTTGGATTTCTTCATTCGCAATGGTTTTACATTCGTGTCTAGAACATTCGCTTCTCTAAAATACTTAACAGTGCATGATAGTCCTGTGATGATTATTTAAAAGTTGGAAGAAAATAAATTGTAATATTAGCCTCTAATAACATTCAACTAAAACGCAGGTTAATGAGAAATGTTCGTGGAAAGATCAGTAAGCTGCTGGCCTCTGTGATGGAGGTTCTATTTAGGCTATGCTGCCACTTCTCTAATCATAGGTATTGCATAACAAATCAATAATACACACTATGTATTGCTAACTATAAAAAAATTATGTTCGCATTTCTCCCGTAATGAGATTACGTTAATCGCACGTGAAAGTACAAAATATACTTGTGCAATTTTTTTCTTTACCACATATCATATCTATATTATTTTATATCACGTGCATGCTCGATGTAATTATCAAGAAGTGACAGTTTATGTTAGAGTAAGCTTAGATAATTGTCGAAGGACTAATTTTACTGCTTTCATGTATATCGTGGATTATATAGAGCGATCGTATATGTTATGTTCTTATTTTTCATTTTTAAAACCTATCGCGAATTTGGTGTAAGTTATTTTGCAATTCCGCCACAACTTTAATAATATCAGTTTAATATCACTACTCATATAGCTATGCCTCGTGCTTTTTATGCTTCCTGATAACTCCCTATCTTTTATTTTGCATAGTAAATTTAACGTAAAATTACATCAATGTATGAAACACAATTGATCAAAACATTTCAGAGAGCTCCTACACTACATCATCTTATTTTTCATGTTATAATTTTCTCTCATCTCTTTCGTGATACTTTCCTCACTGATCCCCATCATTAATGTTTAGAATTTATGCCGGCAATCATATTGTTGTTATGAGTATGACAATGTTTTCATGTGATTGGATCACAGTAAAAAGAGTATAGTGCATGCAAGTGTTTGCATGTTTTATTATTGTGACGCTAGCGATGATAAAAATATCCCTTGAAATGAATGTTGCAGATTAAACATGTCCAGTGATCTTATATCGTTACATATTGGCGACCGGATTTTGGAGGTGAACGGCACTCCTGTTAAAGATCAGCCGGTGGAGAGTATCGAAAATCTTATACAGTACTCGGATACAGTCCTACAGGTGAATATAGTCAAAGTTTCCCTTAAATTATTTTTGCGATATTAGATTTATCGCAATCATATTGAACTGTACGAACGCGTTTGATATTTCAGCTGACTATCGAACACGACCCAGATGCTGTGTCACGAAGGCCTACGTTCTCCTCACCGTCCTCGGCGATGTTAACATGCGTCGGCAGTCCCAGAACGAGTCCCGAAGGCAAAGAACGACTTTTTAAACGCCGCGACGAAGGCTACATCAGCGGTGCGCGAAGCCGGCAATTGCGAAGAACGAGAGACCCGATGCACAAGGAACGCAGCAGTTCTATGTCGCGATTGCTCGACGGGTGAGCAGCCGACAAGCACAGACTTCTGACAACTCGTCAGCAAATATTACGATGCGATCCACTAAATCGAATCCCGTTGCAGATCTTCTCCGATGAATCCGACTTGTGATTTGAGCCGTACTAGATCTTTCCGCGTAGAGCCAAAGAATCAGAGAATATTTCGTGCTAGCGATCTAGTGAAGGGCGAGCTTCTGGGCAAAGGATTTTTCGGACAAGTATTCAAAGTCACGCATCGCGACACGGACGAAGTGATGGTTCTCAAAGAATTGTACAGAGTAGACGAGGATGCACAGAAGAATTTTTTGAAGGAGGTAAAATTTTTCCTCATATAAATGATTTAAGATTAACGTGGATGCAAATGGAATCAAATGGAATAAATTCCCATAGACATTTGTATTTGACGTATGCATATGATTGAAACACTGAAAGTTCGCGTCTCTTCTGAGTGCTTTAATAATAGTCTATCTAGTGAAATCTCTAGTCAAATTCAACTGTCGGTTTTTCAAGACATGCATTTTCTTATTTCAACATAAAAATGATTCAACAGGTTGCGGTACTGCGCTCGTTGCACCATAACAACGTCCTTCGCTTTATCGGTGTTCTTTACAAAGACAAGAAACTACATTTGGTTACCGAATACATAGCAGGTGGCACGTTAAGAGCCCTGCTGCACGATACGAACGAACCGCTGCCGTGGGAACAGCGTACGTCTTTCGCGAAAGACATTGCTGCCGGCATGGCTTACTTGCATTCTATGAATATCATTCATCGCGACCTGAATTCACACAATTGTCTGGTTCGCGAGGATAAGACTGTGGTGGTGGCCGATTTCGGCCTGGCGAGGATCATTCAGAACGGCAGTTCGCCGGACAGTCGCAAGTACAATCGACATTCCGACGGGGAGGTGAAGACTACGAAGAAGGAGCGGAAGAAGCGATACACGGTCGTTGGGAATCCCTACTGGATGGCGCCTGAGATGATGAAGGGCAACAAGTACGACGAGAAGGTGGACATATTCAGTTTCGGCATTGTCGTCTGCGAGATCATAGGCCGGGTTCAGGCGGATCCCGATTATCTACCTAGATCGTCGGATTTCGGCTTGAATCAAAATGTCTTCAAAGAGAAATTCTGTTCGAATTGCCCGGAAACTTTCTACATGATTGCGTTTCTTTGCTGCGATTTGAATCCCGACAAGAGGCCACCCTTCGAAGTTATGGAAGTCTGGCTAGAAGGATTGGCCATGCACTTGTCGGTAGGCGCTGAATTGCCGGCGGATCTGGATTATGACATCAGAAATTATAAGGGACCGAGTCCGAGCAGCAGTGAGTCCACGACTCCGGAAACTCTCGCGCCGCAATTGAGGCCTATCAAAGAGGGTCAAGTCCATCAGGAGAAGAAACGATCCAGCGGCTGCGACGATAGCACGCTGGAACGTGAGGTGGAGTCGGTGCCGGGCAACGTACAACGTGCGCCCGATGTTGTGAGTCCGCGCAGCAGGTACGCGAGACAAAACAGCAAGACCAGCGACAATTCCGGCAATGTAGGCCGTTACTCGAGACAAAATTCCAAGTCGAAGGATCTCGCGGCCGACAAGGAGAAGCCCGACATCGTGATTTCGCCCGATTCCAGCGGCCGATATTTACGGAGCAACATCAAGCTGAAGGACGCGTCTCCCGACATCCCAAACACCTACGCTTATTCGAAGCAGCAAGCATACCCGAGGCAGATCGACTCGAGCGAGCGCAACCTGACTCGAATACCCACGATAGAAAAAATCAAGTACGTGGGATGCGCGAGCCCGTCCAGCATTTCCGACGTTCCGGAGTATATAATCGATAGCAAAGGCTCATATAAGATCAACAATAGCCTAAAGCAAAAGCCGACGGACAAATTGAATGATACGAGCGCTCACAAGACCAAATCAGAGAGCAAATTCAAAATACCGGACGCTGCGAGTTCCGTTGGCTCGTATCTGAGGCAAATTGGGAAATCTATCGGCGCTGTGGAGAAGGAAAATAAGGCGATCAATAACCGAAACGGTGGTATCAATTGCAGCGACACCGACTCAAAGAAAGCGGCTGGAGAAGGTGTGACAAAGTCATCCACGGGGTATCTGCGAAGAACGAAAATATCACCGACCAAGGAGACGTCGAAGAACAACGCCTTTTCTACCAAAGAGACCGTCAAAGACAAGATCGACGCAGTTTCGCCGTTGCTGAAAGCCGCGAAGTCGAAGGTTCCACCGAACTGCCAAGAGGCAGTCGCGAGGAACGAAGATATCAAAGGTAGACTATCTAGACAGGAGAGCAATGTGTCCGACGTCGGTAGCATTCTGTCCAGGCAAGGTAGCCTCACGGTGTTAGAAAGCTCTTCGAAGTCTAAAGGCACGGCCTACGAGGATTACTCGCCATTCAACATCTTTGCGAAGGATGACTTCCGCAAGGAGAACAGCTTCAGGAAACAAGGCCTCTACCATACGGACAGCCTTTATTCCAACTCCAGCGTCTCAAAGCAGGATGATTTCATTATACCTAACAAACGAAACGCGAGTAACGATGGCGACTGCAGCATCGTGGGAACCAAAGCGACGAGCGATGCTTCCAAGAACCCGATGGTGATCTCAAAGTCCGTTTACGGCGGCGACTTGAAAGCGATGCCGGACTGTCTGGCCGACTATACTGACGGCTGTTACAAGGGTGTCGACATATGCCGTCAGGATAGCTTCGGTTCCGACAGCGCCGTCGGCACCATGAAGAGTGACTTCTTTACGGACGTCGATTTCGCGCAGATGAGAGACGGCCGGCACACACCGAATCTGTGCCATACCCCTGATAGGTGCTGCACACCCAATCGCCGGACCTCGCCGATCGAGAGTACCGCTTTGTAGACGAGAGAAACGCCTCTGTGTCCGCGGCATGCGGAATTTTACGGAACATCGAGATAACGTGCGTAATCCCCGACGAGATGAATCTCACTCTACTAATATGATCTCTATTCATAATGTTAAGATCATGAACATGTAACGTGCTTAGTTTGCAGTATTAACTTTTTTGTAGAATTTACCATTGTCATTTTACCATTATCTTAAGTGCGTTCAGCGAGAAACTATTGAACTCGTATGTTGACTTTTATCATGATCGCGATGCGAAATTTAGAACGAAAGTATCCTTTCTCAATGACATCCCGAATGGGAAGTTTTCGACAATATATCTGTATTTTTCTCGTTCCTCGTTGATGAAACCGCGCATTCGAAGTTGACGAAATGTATGATGAGCGGAAATTCAGACTTCAGAGTATTCCCGTTTGATATTGAAATTGAAAAGTTGTCCCACGTTAAAGTAAGTTACGATAACGCCATAATCAGTATTAATGAATTTCGTTTGTTATCAGTTTACACGAATTTAGGCCGCAATGACGCATCGATCTTAGCTAGCCGTAAGCATTTTTACCACATTCCTGCGAGGTCTTGCCACGTGGTTTTTCAAAGTGGGGTTTGCGCGATAAAACGCGAGTCCGACACACACAAGAGCATTCCATCCAAAATACTAACGCCGAGATTTTATATACATATATACACACATACGGTACTATATGTTAGAGCGGCACCGTGAATACGACAAATTGTGCGACCTGTGAATCCTCACGACGACGTAGAATCAAAAGAAACTGTCAAAAACCGAAGCACATGGTGCAAACATATTAGCCCCGGAAGCGTACGTGGTCACGAATGTTTCTTTTAAACAACTGTAAACACGTCACACACACACACAGCTTCAGTTTCTTGTAGAATAGAATGTAAAGATAGAATATTATATCTGTTTTCGGATATACATATATATATATACATATACATATAGATGTACATCACAGTGTAAAATATTGTATACGTTTGTACTACTGATGTACATATACGGATAATCGCTATATATATATATATGTATGTATAAATACGTGCATATAGATATATACATATACATGCGACATTTATATCCTCGTTGTCTGTCCACAGTTTTGCGATAAATTCTCATAGGGTGCAGTCGCGTTTGTGTGTACATTATATAGATATGAGTTGTTTATGTATCTTCTTCTCACCGGAGTTCAACCGAGCGTGTGTGATGTTTTAACGAGGATATGAACGTCGGCGGGGGAGTAGAGAATATCATTTGTATAAACGACAAATTATTTGTATATAATTTTGTATATATCCAGACAGTTTGTATAACATACTGATCAGTGTTTGAGTAGAAAGAACTGAGCTTTGCACTTGCGTCGTGCGAGTGTACAGCCAGTTTCTCCCTACGCGAGATCAGAGATCCTTGTTTCTTTGCCGTTTTTTTAGCCGCATGTTGGTCCTATTTTATGACGTCTCGATGAAATTTTTGTGCGTTTATGCTTTCATAGATTCCAAGCCATTCCAAGAGCAATAACTTTAGTAATACTCATTCCGTCTCGTTCTCATTTTGTTTACTATTACTTCGCGACGTATAAAATGACGCGATCACTTTTCCTTACCACGATGTAGATTTGTTTCGGATGCACCTATGCATTGGTTAATATATTGTTTCTAAATAAATTTGTTATTATCTAGCATAAAGCCTAGCATTATCGTATTATTTACTCGAACAAAACTCGCGCTTTGTGTAGCCTCGTGATGTTTGTCCTAATACTGCACGTTCGATACGCAAAAGAGCCTGATAAAAAAAAATCAACTTTTATTTTTCTTCGTCTGTGTATAGAGAGAGAGAGAGAGAGAGAGAGAGAGAGAGAGAGAGAGAAGAGAGAGAGAGAGAGAGAGAGAGAGAGAGAGAGAAAAAATTATATATATATATATATATATAGAAGAAACATTGCTAAACGTTACCCGCGATGATACCGCAAACGCTGTCGTGTAGAATAAAACTTGAGATATCATTAAATATGTGCACGTCCAGTTGTAGACGAGGACAGTATGTGCAATAATTATATATGGCTTGCTACATGTATATGGTAGAGCTAGAGATTAAGAGATTGTTCAAGGCTTATTGTTATGATAACGAGCTAGTTGGACGAAAGTAGAGAACTTCGTACCGTACGGAATGATATTGCGACGTGTTACGAAAAAAAACAAAAAAAAACCAAAAGAAGAAAAACAGAAGAACGAGATCTTTATATTCTCACTGGCAGAGCGTGTGTAGCGCCACGTGCAGCCGTCTGATTCCGATTCTCCATTCCGATGATCTCGTTATATTCGATGTAAATACGCAACGGGAAACAGTTTTTAACGCCCGTATTTAGCGTTCTGATCGGAGAAAGCGCGACCGGGAGTTCGGACAAATCGAGCTTGATCGAAAAAGGATTACGACGAAGAATATGATGCAAAAGATTCGCGTAATCAATTGATCGTCGTTGAAATGGAAGTAATGCGAGAGAGAGAGAGAGAGAGAGAGAGAGAGAGAGAGAGAGAGAGAGAGAGAGAGAGAGAGAGAGAGAGAGAGCGACGGATACGGGAAACGGGATATCGTAATATGTCGCGGAGGACAGTATTATACCGCTACTCTTTGCATATTGTTGCTTAGTAGCTGACGTACGTTTGCTATCGTACTATTTTAACATACATACATAGCGGGCACAAAGATCGTGTTAAGAGACTTGTAAAAAGATATCTGTAACGAGTAGACATTATTTTTATAGCTCCTGTAAATTTTCACGTCTTTTCCACAGCCGACACGATCGACACGATAGATCGATCGATGCGCGCGGTGTCCTGTCATTAGCGCGTCGATTTGTTGACAATCGGAGCTGTAATGGCGGGACACCCTATATAATCCCGGTTCTTGATACTTTCACCCCCTCAGTCTCAGTGAATTGATTCATTCATCACGAATTCAACGTAATCTTGAGCAGATATTTTTTATAGCACTATAGAGAGTCTAGGATATCACGATATAATTGACATCCTGATTTGATAGAACGATCGATATTTTCATATACGGTCTGTTACTTCTGTCGGCTTAATTTTTCATCGAATATCGATTGGATTGGTTACTGACCGAGACGATTAAACGATTTTGCACTTTGTGACTAAATCGCGCATTGTTTCGTTTGTGTGACGATACCACGGATGCGGAGATCCGATTTGTTATCCGTTCCGTACCACTCAAAGTATTCGTTGTCTCATCACTAGTCGCGATCTTGGGTCTATTAAACTTAATATTATAATACTCACGTAATTAATGTCGATGCTATTGTCGTAAAAGAAAACGCGAGCGTCGCGAAGCTAAAGTTGTCCAGATTGTTACATCTAACGGCACGGGAAGGACGGTCCTGATGATTTTCCAGGATGCACTCGTTCGCCGGTGCATCCAAACTCGAAATTGCCGAACGGGATTCCTAAGCGAGAGCAATAATTGCGTTACTGACGTAACATACGCGAGATTGTATATATCCGCATTGTTCTTTTTTCCCTTTTCTCTTCACATGCTACATGCACTGTGTTACACGGCGAGCGAGATAAGCGCGATTCTGAGCGATCAATTGAACACGTCTGTTGTCGCGACGTTTAGCGATGATTCAATGATGGCGGACTGATCTCGACGACGACTGTTTGTAATATTTCGGCGAGCTACTTGCGAGCGGAGAACGAACGAGAGATGTTTTTATATTATCTTTGTCAAGTACTTGTTACTTGTAAAGTTTACGTATAGGTTTTCGCGCAGAGTTTTATGTGAGACAAATGTTTTATTTAACATTCCAGTAACGTAACTCAGTGAGAGAAAAATAGAATAAACCGTTGACAGGACATGATGCGCGTTTTCTTTGTCTTTACCTGCTGCATGTTTTTCACATGAATATTCCGTGCTATAACTGCATCGCCAGAATTATCGATATAAAAAATATCTTCAACTATCTTTCTTCGTCGAAATGATTTCCGACGGCAACGACGAAGTATCATCCAATAAAGACGGTCTTACAGAAATTTAATTGACCGTCCGACGCTTGGACGGTTGGCTTATGACAGAATATTAAATTTATTGCTTAGATTCACGTTGTAGTCTAATTTTTCTCGTTAAGGGGATCCTGGAGTCGTCTGTTTTACCGACAAATTGACTCAATTTTCTCAAACACTATTCTTTTTATTAGCTATACAGATTGAAAAATCCTTTTGTGCAGCGAAAGTACTTATAATAACGAAGTACAGAACACAAAGTTTTATATAAAATTCAATGAAAAATTACAAAATTACAGTTTCGTTATCATGTTTTGTGTCAGCTCGTAACTTTACTTATTAATTATAAAAGTTCTGCAGTTTATCCATGCAAAAGCTTTTGCTTCCGTACTAGCCATAATATGAAAGAATAAAACTGAAGTAACAGAAATGAGCTTAGAAGTCAGTGTAAAAAAAATAGTGTTTGAGAAGAATGTAATGCATACGGAATTGTGTTTGCTACATTTTTGGATAAAACAGAACAGTAGATTAGTTCCGCATAATCATGATCGATGGAGCTGCAGGCAGACACGATCGTACTATCCTTGTCTGTTTCATGCTTGGAGTAATGTTATAACAAGGAAACTGTAATTGTAAAATTTTTCATTGAATTTTACATAAAACTTTGTCTTCCGGTCTTCGTTATTATAAGTACTTTCATTGTGCAAAAGGATTTTTCAATCTGTACAGCTAATAAAAAGATTAGTGTTTGAAACTCTCTTGTATCTTCGTTCCCTCGATCGCACGCTCATTAGGTTGCACTCACAATCAGTCGGAAGACGTTGTTATATTCCACACGTATGTCGTACACACCAATCACAACCTCACATGTAATGTCTTAAATTAAATTAGCTATATATATATATATATAATTTAATTTATAATTTATATGTATGTATATATATGCGAGGTGAAGCGATTGTCAAGATGTTCAGCGAGCAGCGACATGTCGCGCTGTCTCCTTTTCGTATTTTTTCATATATATATTTTCTCACAGACTTTGGACAAACGTGCGTGTGCTGCGTCAATTCTTCTTTTCTACACATAGATCTTATATGAATGTGAATGCGACGCTGCCCATATTTTCTTATTCTCCGAAATATGCTTTTTGCTACTGTTTCTCCGATTCTTCGACTTGTTGGTATATACGGTATAACATAATACAGAATAATTTATGCAATGAATAATATTCCACAGAAATTATGCTTCGGAAGATTTAGAAGGATATATTATATAATGCTGAGCTGTGAAATTTTTATGAGGATTTATAAATTTAAAATAAGTTCAATAACAGTTTAAAAAAAAAATAGTACGTTAGATTTTACATGATCCGGCTGCTTACATATCGTTTCATTTTATTTTCATTCTCTTTCTCACACTCTCTCCCTCTCCCCCTCTCTAAATTTCAAACTGTATACGCCTAATACATCGTATGTTGGAGTTGGATATTATACTTATATTACACTACAGGGATTATTTTTATGATTTATAATATTTATTCTAAACTTTATATGAATCAGCTAGAATGGCGCGCGCGTAAATAAAAGAGACAGAGAGGGACAGAGAGAGAGAGAGAGAGAGAGAGGGAGGGAGAGGGAGGGAGAGGGAGGGAGAGAGTGTGTGAGAGAGAGGGAGGGAGGGAGAAAGAGGGAGAGAGAAGGTGAGAGAGTGGGAAGGGGAGAGGTTTGGGGATAGCGGGTGAGAGTAGGAGAAGGAAAGTTAGAGAAAAAGGAGAGTATGAGGGAGAGAGTGTGAAAGAGAGGGGAGGAGGGAAGGAGGGAGGGAGGGAGAGAGAGAGGAGAGTGTGAGGGAAAGTGTGAGAAAAAGGGGAAGGGAGGGAGAGAGGCAGAGAGGGAGGGGGATGAGTGAGTGAGTGAAAAAGAAATGATAGGGTTGATAGTCAAAAAGTAGGGAACGTTATCATCTGTTACCGACGTTAGTGAATTTTGGTATACATGTGTATATACAGAGTGTCTTAAAAATGCCGGACCTCCAGGATAACTTTGCAGGATC